TAGTTTTTCCATTTATGTAGGTGTCTTTTGGTTTCCTGCAATAGTGTCCTGTAGTTTTCATTGCATATGGTCTGTTATGTCTCTGGTTAGATTTATTCCTAAGTATTTTATATTCTTGGGGGGTATTGTAAATGGTATTGATTTGGTGATTTCCTCTTCGAGGCTCTCTTTGTTGGTGTGGAGGAATCCCACTGATTTTTGTATGTTTATCTTGTATCCTGATACTTTGCTGAAATCTATTAGTTCCAGTAGTTTTCTTGTGGATTCTTTGGGGTTTTCTGTGTATAAGATCATATCATCTGTAAACAGGAACACTTTTACTTCTTCCTTATCAATTTGGATGCCCTTTATTTCTTTTTCTTGCCTTACTGCTCTGGCTAGGACCTCCAGCACAGTGTTGAATAAGAGTGGTGATAAAGGGCATCCTTGTCTGGTTCCCATTCTCAAAGGGAATGCTTTCAGACTCTCCATTTAGGATGATGTTGGCTGTTGACTTTGTATAAATGCCCTTTACTGAAATACATTCTTGATATGAACTTATCCTATTGCTGTACCACAATTAAAGCAGGAATCAAGGTCTGAAGGACCCAACTGTTTCTGAAATGGCGCCCTAAACTGTGTTTGCCAAAGGTCAACTATGACATTGGATTACTTTTCAATGGTGCCCCTTTAATCCTTAAGCTATGTTCCACTATTACCAATTGCAAACCTTACCTCTTTAATCACTACCATCATCATTCACTCATTCACCAGATTATTCTCTAAGTGCCTACTTACTATGTACCAAGCTGTGAGCTAAGTGTTGACAATACAGAGATGAGAAAGGTGGGGTTCCTGCTATCAAAGAGTCTGCAATCCAGGAGGGATACCAGGTAAAAATTGACGTATTTTATAAAATCTAAGACACTGTTGGTTTTAAGATGCATCTTGATTTGGAGATGTTAAAATGTGAGAAGTGTCTTAGAATTAATGAAATAATTAATATACCTCAATGTGATAAGCAGTCATACTTGTAGGAATAAGGCACTGTACTGATGAAGCAGAAATGATTACACCTGCCTGGGGATGCAAAGGGAAATTTCATACAAGGTTAACAATAGCTAGCACTTTTTGAGCACTTGCTATATGCCAGGCAAGGCATGTGAAGTATTTTGCATGTAATAATAACCCATTTATTCCTTACAGCTCTATGAGGTAGTTATGAACTCTACTGGCAGCACCTGAAAAATGAGAAAACAGAGGTGAGGTACAGAGCAGTATTTGTCCAAGGTTATACAGCTAGGAAAGGATGGAGCAAGCATTTGACTCTGAGCAATTTAGCTCAGGTCTACACTTCACAACTACAAGGTATTTGAGCAGGGTTTTGAGGAATAAATTCATTGGGCAGACAAGGGAAAAACATTCCAGGCAGAGGGAACAGCTTGTATAAAAGCATGAAAACACAAAATGACATGTTGTTATGGGAAGTGAGCAGCTCAGTGTGGCTGGATCACCAGGAATGTTGAGAAGTAGAGAGATGAGGCTGGGGCGGGATCAAAACCAGATTTTAAAGGATTCTATGTATTCTTTAGGTCAGTGGTTTTCAAAAAGGGTTGTTTCCAAAGCCACACACTTTTCCCCAAAACAAAATTTTACATGGAATGTCAATATATAAAACAGGTAGAAATAGAACTGCTCTCTGACCGGGGAGGCATGGACATTCTAATTTGGCGCACTCCTGGGGATTCACAGAAAACAGTCTGAAAACGACTGAAGAACCACGATTTTTAGGCATGACATGATGTAATGATAATTATATACGTGTGTGTATGTAGGTATATATATATATATATATATATATATATGTATTTTTAAAAAAGCAACAGAGTGCTTAAGAGCATGAACTCTAAGCCTGTCTACGGCAAATTCTGGCTCTACCACTTACTAACAGCGAAACTAACTTTGGGCAAATTACTTAACCTCTGTAACTCAGCTCCCTCACATGTAAAATGGGATTACTAATAACACTATCCCCTCCTAGGGCTGTCTGAAGGAATAAACAAGTTAATGTTTGTAAAGCACTCATTTACCATGGTACCTGGCAAATATGTTCACACTATTTAGATGGCAATGTGGAATGCAGACTGAGAGCCTGGAAAAATCACTTAGACCTTCTGAGGGAAAGATTATGTGAGAAATTTCTGAGGTAAAACAAGTACGTTCTGGTGACTGGTTACAGTGGGTGGGGTGAGGGATTTGCTGAAAATATCTCAAGGTTTTTTGGCTTGAGATTGGTCGATTCCCCACGCTGTTAACTGAAATAGGTAATAGCTATCTGAATACTTCACATCAACAAGCATTTTGTGTAGGGCAATGCACGTATTAACTAGGAGCCTACAGTCTGATAAGAAGTTAGATATGAATAGAAAGACAAATAGCAATATAAGGGAGCAGATGCCAAGTGCCTTCCCTCTTTTCACCTCCCCACAGCCACCTCAAAATTACCTGCAGTTGTAATGAGCCACATTTCCCCATAATACCATGACTGTACATTTGACCAGAACTCTTTTCCCCCTTTATTACTAACATCTATTTATCCTTTAAGACTCAAAAGTTTCATTTCTTCCTGGAAAGTTTTCCCTGACACCCTGTGTGATACTTCTCCAGTGTTTCCACAGCACCTGTCACACCGTATTATTTGTTTCCCCTTTTGAAAGTAGAGACTGTATCTTTTCTGTCTTGGGCCTAAGTAGAACTCAAGTAGAAAATTAAACTGGGAATATTGCCAATAAAAGTGCTACTGAGATTAGAGGAAGGCATGATGATTTGGTATTGGGGACACTGAAGACTGACACGCACTGGCCCTTGAATGATGGGCAGGATGTGGATGGGGGGCAGAGAGAAAGGGGTAGGCTGTCTAGGTTAGAGAAATGGCAGGAGCAAAGTCAGAGATCTATGAGTTGGTCAGGTTAGAGCAGCACTGTCCAAAAAAAATATCATACAAGCCACAAACATCATTTTACATTTTTTAGTTGTTGTTAGGTGCCGTCGAGTCAGTTCCAACTCATAGCAATCCCACAGGACACAGTAGAACTGCCCCACAGGATTTCCAAGGAGCAATGGTGGATTTGAACTGCCAACCTTTTGGTTAGCAGCTGAGCTCTTAACCACTATGTGACCAGGGCTCCGAGATTTTTTAGTAGGCATGTTAAAAAAATGTAAAAAGAAATGTGAGATTTAATATATTTTATTTAATCCATCAAATAAAAAATATTACCAAAAAATTGAGATATTTTACATTTTTTATACTAAGCCTTAGAAATCTGCTGTGTATTTGATGCTTGCAGCACTTCTCCATTTGGACTAGCCATATTTCAAGTGCTCAACAGTCACATGGGGCTAGTGGCTTCTGGACAGTGCAGGCTGGAGAAGTTCATATGGAAGAGTAATAGAGGTTCAAGTTAGAGTAAGAGTCAAATTAGAGGGGGTCTGAATACCCAATAAAAGTGGAAAGCCTTTGAAGGATTTTGAGGTGATAAAACAATTTTGGGAAAGTTAAACTAGTGGTGCTACACAGAACTGGAAAGACCGGAGTGTTCTTAAGGCTAGTATTTGCAATCACTCCTTTATTCCAGTGACAATGTTCATCTCTATCAGAACTAATCAACGATGGTGCAGATTGCCTTCCCGAGCACGTACTTACATGCCTCACCAAAGTAACAGGTTTGCTATGTAGTGAGGTTTGGGAAATTGGGGCACAGAGGTATGTTAGTTATTCACTTATATGTGGTGAGGATGCATCTCTCTTTATGGTGCCAAAGTGTGGCTGGGTGCTAAAAAAAATCAGCTTTTTGACAAAGTTGATTAAAGCTGACATTCAGCCAGAATATCAAACACTGCAGATTAATGTGTCACAGGTACAATACCAAGGATGACTCAGAGAAATATTATTTAGGTCCTCTAATAATAGCACGTACCCAAACTAGATTCCTATCTTATCGTCCCTCAAAATCTGAGGAAGTCACTGGCCCTTTAAAATACACCTTCCAACTTCTCAACTGCCCCCCCACCCCAATTCCCTGCTGCTTCCTTAAGGATTCATGCCAGCTAGCAGCTAAGCCAGAGACTGACTTGCTGACATCTTCCTTACCTCATCCCTCAGGCATTAATCCTGGGCAGAGACAACTTACAGAATGCACCCCAGCCTGGTCTTGGCAGAATGGGAAATGGACAGTTATCTGAAGGCTCCTGAGGGGCTCCTGGGCATAGCATCTTCGTCTTACCAACTTAAGAGAACTTCTGAACAAATTCACAAAGTCTTTTTGTATAATAAATAAAGGATGCAGGAAATTAACTATGATAGCCATCATCCTTACTAATAAAGACTTTATGTGCATATGATATTAAGATAAATACTAAACGGAAATAATATCTGATCTTCAAGAAGCTCCACCAAAAACTAAAACAAACCAGCACGAAGAATACAAAATAAGACAGTGGAAAAAAATAAATTCAATTATTGACAGCTTTTCCTGCAAACGACAAACCCAAGTATTGTCTAAATAGACTTCCATTAGTTGTGCAACTCTCCTAGAAATCTACCCCATATTTTAAAAAATTGTTTCCATAAACTTAGTTTAACATAAACTGTTATTATAAAAATTATCTTAACTGAAGCAAACTTGCGTATAGAAGTATATGAAACTCTCAGCTCACCGAGATCAAAATCCTCCCCAACAGCATTTAAGACTGTGAAACAGAGTACGTGTCCACTCTTTCCAGGATTCTATTAAGTCAACTGTGTTTAACAGGCAAGAGTCCTTTCAGGTCACATTTTCAAAAGGAGTGTCACTCTGTCAAGACACTTACCCTCTTTGAACCTCAGTTTCTTAATCTATAAAATATTAACCTCAATACTGTTATGAGGATTAAATTATGTATAAAAAAGTGCTTTATAAATAATACAGTGTCGAATTTTTATTGTCTGGTTCATTAGAAATGTTCTGGACCCTCTCATGCAGGAACAGCTGGAGGAAATGGAAGAACGACAGAGGCAGTTAAGAAGTGGGGTGCAACTCCAGCAGCAGAAGAACAAAGAGATGGAGCAGCTAAGGATCAGCCTCGCTGAAGAGCTCTCAGCGTATAAGTCAGTTTTTGCTGCCACCCAAATCACTGGCTGAGGGGGATGGTAGGGAGGACAGACACTGCTCAGGGGAAAATGATTTGCAAATTGTGCTTATCCATGAACAGATGGAAAATGGCTTTTTTTAAAGGGCTATGCTACCCAAGAGCCTGGAAAAGGCTGAGGCTCCTACTTCTCAGAGAGGTGAAATTGAAAATGCTTGGTTCAAATATTCAGGGTTCATTTGGAATGTCTCAATTTCTAAGCAGGACTCAACACATGCCCTAATTATCACGAGGAACTCTGTAACAGGATTAACCATCTAGGCTCTCTGCATTCTCACTTTCCCATCCCACCCGCCATTCATAAACTGTTCTCTTAAAATGGCAGAGAAAGCAGTTCTGTTATCAGAATTCAGACAAAGGAGGCCAAGGAGAAGGACAAATGAATCTGTGAGTCATAAAAACAGCTGATGAAGGAAGGTATTTATGGGCAGGGGGAGAATTATTGCTTAATGTGAAATAAGCAACACACCTCATATACAATAAATTATGCAATGGCTATCATTTTGGGCAGGAGTGGCAAAGCTGCTCATATTTCTGACTTTTGGGGAGTGGCTGGCAAACCTGAAGCCATCTTTCTGACCAATGAAGTACTGGCTAACATCCCACTTTGATGCCCTATTCACTCTGTCTTTAACAAAGTAGGCAAAATATTGCATTTATACATCTGGTTAATATAACAAAAATGAACAACATTCAGTTGAGGATCCCTCCCCCAATATTTTACTAATAGTGTTCTCATGTTCTTTATAAAACTCTACAGTCCATCTTAGATAAAGACACTAAGAATAAAAGAAAGTCTTGTGTCACATCATATACTAGATAGATACCCATAAACTTTATTTTTAACTTCCCATTTAAACTTACATCTTGAATACAAATTCACAAGCAACTATTATAATTGATGCTTTTGCTAACTTACTAGGATTTTCTTTTACTATATTTTATCCAGACAAAACTGATTAACACTTGTTTGGGAGATGACCAGAACCTTGCAATTGAGGAAAATGATCTGCTGAGTGTGGATAAGATTAAAAATGTAACAGAGAAAAGGCAATGATTAATCCAAAGCAACGAAACGACAGAATTTCAGGCATTGTAATAACTGTATAAAGTTAACTTGGGCAGAGAAAATTTTTAGCTAGCTCCTTTCTGTCACAAACACATAGGTTACCATTCATTCTGTCTTATAAATAGGAGGCACTCAAATATTTGCCAGGTGAAAGCCATCCCCAATCTTATATGCATCATACTCTATCAACTTCTCTGCAACACAGCCTGCATTAAACTAAACTTCAGAAGTTCACTATAAACTTTCTACTGTATCCTTTCAAGTTGCAGAAAGTATAAACAATCTTTTTTTCTCTTGACCTTACAGGGGCTGTTTAGAAATCTATGGCCAAATCTGTAACCCAGAAACAACAAAAAAAAACTTCTTAGCAAAGGATCACTAAGTACCCTTTGGACATACTTTCCTACAGACAGACAAGAGTGCCAGGAACTTGGCAAACAATTTGCCCCGTGAAAACTACAAATACCAGCTGATGTGTTTAAAAAGATTCTGGGGTTGGCTGCAAGCAGAATACCAGTCAACCCCCAGTGGGATTCTATTTCACAGGCTGCTGGTACTGATCTCAGTCACTCAGGAATGGAAAAGCGAGCCTCCTGTCCTCCAGCAGCAGCCCTCACCTGCACACCAAGTTAAGGATGAATGTACAGACACACCTTGCAGTGTCAAGAATGTACCTTGCCTTGTGTTGACCCAAATCAAAACCCTTTTTTTTTTTGGCGGGGGGGGGGGGGGCCACAGATGGGGTAAAGAAGGCAGCTGATTTTCATTACATGGGTTTACAAGTTGAATTCTTTTGTGCCATGAGTATTACTTTAAAAGAAGGAACCAATTCAGATTTTAATCTAAAGGTTAAGGCTGTTCACATTTTCCTAGAGGTCTTAACTTATGGCACTTAGTGACGTGTCAGAGTCTGCCTACTATCTCTGACCTCTAAGTACAGACCCCAGTAGAAAACACACTGGGGAGATTCAACCTCTGAGAAAAGGTTCAAGCACCTTTTCCAAATTTAAATTTTGCCTTAAATTCTCTCTACCACACTGCCTTTGACATTCTTGAAAGCCCATGTAGTTCTTTAGGGAAGGATGGGCAACAGACTTCAAAAGATGTTTTTTTTTTTTAAAAAAAAAAAAAAAATCAAAGAATAATCCATGCACCTCTGATTCAGTGTTTTATGTCTTCCACTTTCCTGGGGAAGGAATAAAAAGCTTTTTTTTTTTAATAGCTCTGGGTCCATTATATTTAACTCTGCTTTTGATAGTCAAAAAAATCATGGAGAATAACTGTCACCTGAACATCTAGAAGCTAGAGTGGTGTTTGATGAATGTTATATACTAAATAAAACCCATCAGCATGGGGTTCTGTAGAAAAGCAATTTATTCCATTATAAGCACTTACACAGTTAGTCATGAAGAGTAACAGGCCTGCTGGTGAAACAGGTCACCCAAAAGGGAAAGGGTACCAAACTAGTGGTCAAGGACTAACTTCTAAAAAAAAAAAGCAACTCTTATCCAGGATTAATTTAATTTTAAAAACAAATATCAGCTATTGATTCACTCTTCTCAACTTAACTGAACAGTCTACCTGGGGTACAACTGTCAGGTAAAAACATTGTATCTTTACAACTTGGTGGTCCCAAGTTTAAAAAAAAAAACCCAACCATTTCACAGAAAGGAAAGAAATAATATGAAATCAGTTTAAGAAATACACTAACAAGCAAAAATATATGGGGGAACAGAGGAACATGTAGAATAAAGTTCTGACTTAACTGGAGAAACGGAGAGGAGACTGGTCTACGTAGGAAAATGTGCATTATGGCAAGTCAGGTGTGAAGACTGTAGAGTAGGAATCTATATGACTCGAATCTCCTGTTTCCTGAATAAAAATGACATCCTGCAGTATTACACGTCATGGCTCAGACACCTACCTCACTTGGCTCTATATTCCTTACCCACTCTAGCCTTTACTTAAATGAGTCTGAAAAACTTGGGATTACAGCATAAGAAGAAAAATAACCACACACTATCTTCCCCTTTCTGTAGCTACTTCAGACCTGGGTTTGTTTCTAGAAATTCCTGAAGAAAATTTAAATATAAGTCTGTGGCTTTGCTAAATCAAGTCTCCCAGTTAACATTTAGAAAACACCCACTGTTTGGGCTAATAGCATTGTTGATGGTACCTACAAAGGGATAGCCAAACATAGTCTTGTCTCAAAACCAGTGTTAAAATCAATCTCGTGGTTGAGAGAAAAAAGGGGAGTCTAAAATCACAAGTACAGACATATCTAGGACCCTTGTCCTTCTGGATCCACACTTCCTTCAGGGTCTTCATCATTATAAATGTTCTCTGCCTGCCAAAAAACAAAAATGAAACAGAAAAGGGTATTTAGGAAACACGAAGATTACTCCGAAAGATTTAAATGCTAGCAAAATGGGGATAAAGAGGAGACAAGGCAACAATTAGGAGCCCACTGCAATACTCCAGAAAGTGTTGATGAGAACCTGACCAAAAAACTAGGGTGTCGAGTAGAAGCAGGAAGTTGGGCATTTGTGTTTGTGTTTCTAAGATGAGGACAGACAGGAGAAACACTGCAGAAAAAGATGCAATAAAATTTGGTTAAGTGAACTAGACCTAGAGATGAATAAACAATGGAAGAGAACTCTTGAGTTTTCAAGTCTGGTTAATTTAAAAAATATTGGCTCCATACAGAAAATAGAGAAGTCAGGAAGTGGAAAGGGGAGTAAGGAGAAGGGGAGGAGAGAAACGTAAGTTGTACCAATGAATTTGAGATACCATCGGACAATCAAATAAAGGTAAAGAGCTGGCAGTTGAAAACAATAGCCTGGAAGACATGGCAGACAAGAATTAGTGTCACATCTGGGAATAAACCAAACAGATATGCCAGCTGTATTCATTAAATATAGAAATATGAGGTGATATTATGTCTTATTTCTTACAATGTACCTCCCCCAAACAAATAACCGAATACTTACCATCTGCCACACTTGCATGATATTGTCTTCTGATACAGAACAAATCACCCAAGGTTCATTGGGATTCCAGGAGAAATCAGAAATCTTGGCAGTGTGACCACCATGAATAAACTGAAAGAGAGAAGATACAAAAGATATGAAAAACAGACAGAGGATATTAAATTACAGGTTATTCCAAAAGTGCATGATGTTGGTAACGTACCAATAACTCTGGTGGCCCATCTTCTGCATCTTCTGGGGATTGTTCCTCTCCAATTTTACTAGAGCAGAAAGATTTTAAAAAGTCAAAACAGATTTACCCTGAGTAACTACCTTCTGAAAATATTAAAAACAAAAAACAAAACTCCATGGACAGAGTAGCTAACAACACACTTACCTTAAATCCCAGACATTCAGCCTACGATCGGTACCACTGGAAGCCAAAATAGTTTCATTGTGAGGTGACCACTGAACCTACACATAGGAAGGAAAACAGGAAAGCCATGAATTAACAAACTAGGGAAAATTACCTAAAATTATATTTAATAATTTTAAAAAGCTTTAAATAAAAGGGAAGTCCAAGTACTATACACTATAGTTAAAACTGACACCAAGATCATATAATTTCTTCTATGAAAACAACCTGTTACTAAACTGATGTATCCTTCATAGTGCCCTTGCAAAGAGGTTTAAACACAGTACAGCGATTATTTCTTGAATTCAGTCAGAGGGTTTTGCGTGTTAAGAGTTTAAACTGATGAGGCAGAATTAGGCTCAAATTGAGAAATGAATAGACATGTCAAAGAACAAAGGAATGGAGATAAGTGAAAAGACAAGTGCTGGTAGCAAGGCCAATAAAGTAACCAGGTACTGGTTTTCTTAACACCTCAACAATGTAGGTCAACGACCAACTGGAGAAAGTATAGAAACAACAAGGGAGGAAAAACAATCCCAAGTCCCACAGGGACTGGCATAGGCATATGAAAGATTTCTATTACTTATAACAATGGGATACACACATCCAAGTTTTCCTTAGAAAAAAAAAAGATTGATAGCATTACTTTCTCTTACCTGGAATATTTCATCCTTATGTGATTCAAAGGAATGCAACTTAAGTTTCAAATTTCTCAGATCCCACAAAGCAACAGTCTATGTAAAGAAGAAAAAAAATGCAAGAGCAATCAGTATCATTTTATAAAGCGGGGAGGGCGAAGCTGGAGAAATTCATCATGTTTTCTCTTAAAGTATATCAAACTGACCTTGTCAGCTGATCCTGTGGCAAGAATGAATTCACTGTAAGGATTAAAAGAAAGGCAGTTCACTTCAGCCGTGTGAGCATCAACTGAGTGGCTTGGTTTGGAAGTATTGTTTGAACGAGTATCCCAGCTTCAGCAAAAAAACAGAAAACAAAAATTTTGAAATGGGTGACTAAAGGTAAAACTTAATATATGAAAGGGGGGAGGGGAGGATTTTACTCACATCATAAGTTTCTGATCATCAGCAACTGACCCAAACAGAGACTCATGGAGCAGGTGCCAGGAAACATCTTCAACTACTGCAGTGTGACCAGTAAAGATGGTCTTTGCATCCACCACTTTTCCTTCCTTTGGAACAGCACTGATGTCCCATAGGCAGATGGTCTTAAATGCAAAATTAACCATTACATAAAAGGAAGATTACCCCTACCCTACCCCCAAAAGAAACCGACTGATAATTAGCCCAGATTTGCTTCAAAATGAGAAGGATACGCACATGGTCATCTGAAGCACTAAGTAAGTGCCCACTGAGATTTGGGTTCCAAGAAAGCCCATAGCCTTCCTTCTGATGTCCACGGAGACGCAAGTCTGGGTTGCACTCTCCAGAAGGGTCTGCAAAGTAACGGACACATTGAGACTATACTGTCTACTGGGTCTTTGGGTCTACTAAGTACAGTAAAACCTGCAAAAGCTGGAACCTGTGTGAGGCAGAAACCTGTCAGAGAAAAACAAATCAAATACTTTCCGCTAACAGAGAGCGATAAGTAATAAGACTGCATGCTGTCAAAGGCAGAAAACTTGCGAGACCCAGAAAGACAAGGCAGTCCCATCGAGTTCCAGCTCTCACGGTTTCACTGTATAATGGAATTTTGATCAAGAGGTCTCACGCGCTTAATGTTTATAAGCAACACAGAACCCATTATGATCAAATATATAATGCTTAAGCTGCACCATTATTCGGTTCCATGTAAAGAAGTTTTTTTTTTTCCAGTTAAGAGGCACGAATAAAGAATACCCACACATATCAGTATCAATTATAAGATATTAAATTATACAAAGAATAAGGAGCAATCAAATTCAGATTGAGAGGAGCAATGTATTCCCATAGTGATTATTTGTGTCTGAACAGAAAACGGTAGATACCTGGTTTAGAAGGGTGTTTCGTGTAGTCAAAAACAAGAACATCACTGGATGGAGTCTTTGTTGCAATGATGCAAGGGTTCTGGGGCATATAACGGGCCCTGTTTACTTCTCCTTCATGGTTGATCTTGATTTCTATTTCAATCTTTCCACTAACTGAGCCAAAACCTCCAAATTCTGCAAATAAGATAAATGAATTAATTCCAAATGAGGACAAAGCAAGAACTACTCTATCTATATATGCCACTCCAAGTGTAAGGACACAGAGAATGCGCTTCTCCTCAAGAAATGGTGTAATGTTAGAAATAATCTAGATACT